CATGCACATCCATCACCAATCTCATGAGCCACCAACTCGTCTGACAACCCACTGTAGCTCAAAACGGCAGCTGATCAGCGGGCGTTGCCCCCTCCTCCCTCTCCTCTCTCTTCCTCTTCTACGCCAAACGACTCACCTGGCCAACGGTTTCGGGTGACAGGTGCGAAGGCAGGTATACTTGGTTGTCCAAGCGCACGCTTTCGACTGTGAGGCGAGATCAGTGGCCTTACAAGAGAAAAAAAAAAGTGCCAGCGATGTTCTCAACCAAAGCGTTATGGCCTCGCCACAAGGCCTCGACCAGGAGAGTCACGTACCAAGCACGAACGATCAACCACCGCACACAAAGCAAGACACGTCGAACAGGTCGCTGACGCTGGTGTCGAGACCAATGTCGAAGAAGAAGGGAAACAAGAGCTAAAAGCTGAAGAAGAGGTTGAAAAATGCAACACATTCATTCATATGGGAGTTGCATGTTGTTGTAAAGTCTAAAAATAGTCAAAACGGTCACACGAGCAAATTCCGCTATGAAACTGACGAATCGACGCACGCGGAATACCTTAATGGCACGTGGACGCGAATGCCTCTATGCACTTCCAAAACGACAGTCGGTCAGCAGCCCCTTGACTATCCGCCCTCCATTGCAGCTGGAAGAGATTCCAAGCTCGTTGGCGACCCGAGTTAGCACTTCCAGCCGTATCAATCTCATCTCCCGGCCCAGCCCGCATGCGATCGACCATTTCTGACGGCGAGCTGGCCAACAAGATTTCATGGTGCAGCGCATGTCCAAAGAGAACAAGTCGTGAATCACAAGCTCGCAAGGGTAGCCAAGACGGCACCATCATCGCCACCACGAGGACGTCGAACCGCATCAAACTCGCTCCGGCTCGCGGAAGGTGAAACGGAGTAAACGCGAGCACAATGGGGCAAGAAGCACTATCATCGTGAACATCCGGTACGTCCGGCGAGAATGTCATCATAGTCATCCTCGGCCTCATGGCAGGTCTCAATCTTCAGATCTGTTTGCGGGCTCGCGGTGCCCTGCACCTGTGAGCTGGCGTTCCTGGCCCGAAACGAGTGGATGACCCTGTGCTTTTGAAGCACTTGCTGCACGCAGCATGGACTCATCTTGGATTTGTTCCCTGACAAATATCAGCTTCGTGAGCTTGTGCCATTGTTCGGACACAAACTGGTGGCCATACTATCGAACCATCCAAGTCGTGACCAAGACGCGTTTTAGTACCAGCATCACCGTCAGTACATGGGTACACATGAGCGTGGCCTGCTGGCAAACACAGTGCTACATCATACGGTCGAGCCTGTTTTGGGGCTTTCGGATGTGGCACACTCTCAAAGCCAGCATGCAGGCAGGACGGCACGAAACGTCTATGGCCTCACGCAGCTCGATCACAAGTTTGTGTCCAGTGAAGCACACTTGGCATGAACTTTTTGGGGCTGCATTGGTGCAAGGTTGGATAGCAGCTCATACGTGCTCCTTTGTTTGACTCACTTGGCAGCGCGCGAATCATCGCGCTGGTCGTCAACCGAGCGAAGATCAACATGCTCAAAGTAACTCTGATGCAAAATGTTGGTGCGACATCTTGCTGGAGATGGTGTGGTTCCGGGGAAGCGGTAGCGGTGTGTGGCACTCGACGATGCTTGTTTTGCAACCGGACGAGATAGCAAACAAAAGCATCCGCCCCATTCCATGCGCGCCAAGGCTCTGCCTCATGAGCTCGTCACGTTCAGGCATTTTTAAGATAGCTGCATCAATTTTCGACTAGAGCCTGTTCTACTCCCTGGAGAGCAACGAGATTCGACTGCATTTGATCGATCATAAGACTGGAAAATTCACCAGGGTGATCCTGCCATCCAATCCTCGAGAGCACGGCAAGGCGTCGACCAGCAACATCTTCCATGATGTCTTGGAGTACAGAGTTGACTGTCCATGTGTCGCCAGGTTGAAGCAGGGTGAGAGGTACTGATCATCGAGAGCATGCACCATTCACAGAGGAACAACTGCACTTGTTGAACATACAAAGAGGATGCCAGCTTGGGGTCGGAGGGAGTGGGGACTCGTGTCTCATCATGAGCGCGATGGTCCGACCAACAGCGTCCTACGCGGGGATGCATGACAAGCACCTGTTGTGAGCAGCAGCCAGACCCTGGTTGGCTGCCATGTGTTCTGCTATTCGCACCTTGTCGTTTTGAGCAAGGCGATGCGATTGTTCAAAAACCAAATCAATGGCAGTGGCTCCATACTGTGAACATGTGAGGGGTGAGCTCTGGCAGGTCACTGCTCCGTGACGTCGACGATGTGCTTACTGTGGTAGGTAGTGAGAGGTTTGCATCGGCATGAATGAGCGCGCAGGCCTTGTCCCAATTTCGATCAATGCAGGCATGGTGTAGCGCCGTGTAGCCGTCCTGGGCAAGCACGCAGGTTAGGGCACAAAGTGGCTATTGGCCAATACAAGTGGTGGCGCCAGGAGGAGCCCACTTACGCTGTCCTGTGCGTCAACCTGAGCTCCTCGTGCGCAGAGAGCACGCACACCCTCTGCGGTTGATGTCAAATGGAGTGGCGTGCTGTTGTGCTATAGACCCACATGCATGGGAGAAGGGGCGTAAGCAATTGGCAGCATGTTGACGACCAGGTAGCTTGATGGACAGGAAACGAGATATTCGTCCGTGCTTTTTGAATTATAAAAAAAAAAAAGTAAAAAAAAAAAAAGTAAAAAAAAAAAAAAAAAATAGAAACACCCCCGCGAGCTTGGCACAGGTGCAGCCGATCCACCAACCTGCGGCGTCTTTGCATTGTAGTCCATCTCAGCTGCGGCAAGGGCATCGAGCATGGCGGCATGCTGTTTGCTCAGCATCCAGCTGGCGACCCAGTGTACAAAAGAAAAGTCGTCCTGTGCGCGGCAAGTGCATTTCAAGTTGTCCAGTGACGTGAGTGCGATTGCGTTGATTATTGCGCACGACCATGAATCGTGCAAGGTCCGCACCACCTTAGCCAGGCTCGGATCAGCGCGGGCCTTGAGGAGGTGCTGCACGAGAGCCGCATTATTCTGTTGGGAAATGGCCACTTGGAGCGGCCGTTCGCAAGATGCCTGGGAGATTGGTGAGCGGTGCAGATTGAGATCAGTGCTCGAGTGTTGACTGGGCTGCGTCAATACAGCCCACAATCGGGTCAGCATCATCTAGTCCTACCAGAGCCGGCAGGTTTGCATCGGCACCAGCGGCGAGAAGTTGCTGTACAACATCGCTCTGTCCCATCAGAGCGGCCAGGCCCAAAGGGGTCACTCCATCCTGGTTGGTGTGTTCCACGGACAGGTATGCGTCAAGTGAGGGCGATGGATTGATATTCCACATCGAGCGAGGCGTGTCGGCTTGTTGGAGACGAGGGACGGAACCCAGGGACGCACGGCAGAAGCAGCGTTGGGATCAGCGCCATTGCGGAGAAGCAGGACGACGTCGCTCGTGCGTCGGTCCATGATGGCAGCAGTCAGCAGTGTCTGTCCCACCTGTATGCCAAGCAGCGCGTGAGATGCTGGAACACACAGACCCCAGCATCGATCAGAGGGCAACTGGGTCTTGCCTCGAGCACATTGAAGGCAGGATCGGCCTGCTTTACGGTGGCGTTTGGGTCACCTCCGGCGGCCAACACAGCCGCAAGATGCGGCGAAGACCACTGGTCATATGCCCAGAGTACAAGGAACTACGCAAGGCAGGAGAACAGGATGGGCGCGTTACTATTCTTTCATCGCTCGCGGTAGCAGTCCGACGGTCGGGCAACAGGACCTGATCGCTGCTGGCCAAAGCGTCGCCAATCACGTCAGCTGGTTCACGCTGCAGTACAGCCTGCAAAGCTTCACCACCATCGTCGGCCGCGATCACTGCTCGCAGCTCATCCTGCAGTGCCTGCGCCAACCGAGACGGCTGCCCGCGCCTCGGGCTCTCCGCCGCCTTCGCAGCAGCGACCTCGACCAGTGACTCGGCCATCGGCGCCAGGCCACCACCTCACTGTTTTCGCACACTGGATATCGGACAATATTTATTATTCATCACTCCGTTCGCCAAATTGATTAACTCTAGTTATTGTCACTCACTTCGTGAATGTGAAGCAAACGCAGGAGGTGCCTGCTACTGTGGGTTCTCCATTTCTTCGTTCACGATCATTCTTCTGCCATCCCCAATGCCTCGTGCCCCGTCGTTGACCACCAAGTGTGTCTTATATCACACTGTTTTACAAGAAGTGTAACTTTTGGTATACTTTAATTGTAGATTCCCCCAACTTTGTGTATTTTGAGTCTTCTTTTGCCACTAAAAATACATGCACACACACACACACACACAAGTTGTCGTTTGGTTCGTCATTTTTCGGTTCCTCTGTCGGTACGTGCTCGCTGAGCAAACTGAGCATATGGCGGCGGTGGCGACGGTGGTGGTGGTGTATGTGTGTGGGCTGGTGCTGTAGCGAGATGGTACCGCGACGGGTTTCGTGTGCTTGCCAATGGGGTGTCTATCTGCTGTCTGTCTTTTTTTTCCCCCCGAGCTCTTTCAGTGGGCGGTGTGTACTGGTGTTGGTCAGGGGGTGTCAGCTGGATTTGCCATGGTCCCGCCCTCTTTTGCTTCCAATGCACAGCCCGGCATGGTTGCGTCGACTGGTCCCCCGACGGCGCCCGTTATCTGGCCTATCCGTTACTGCTTTTGCATGTGCTCACCGCGCCTGTCTCTTCCTTCTTGGTGGATGCGCTCTGGTTTTAGAGAGCTTGGCTCTCTTTCATTCTCGAAAGCAGGTGTCCTCTGCTTTGCCTTGTGCAACAGCCTCTGGTGCCGGTTGCAAGCAGCGACTTCTCGTGCTTTGCTGGTGTGCCTATTTCCTCTGCTCTCATTCGTTGGTGTCCATTCGCCACGGCGCCGAATTACCACACTCTTCCCCTCCTGGCTGCAGGCCACCGCCATGTACGTTCTCAGGCTTCTTCCCGTTGACTCTACCACTTTCGTGGCCGTGGCCTTGCATGGCCCTTTTTTGTCTTGTCTGTCTACTTTACATGGGCTTGCTCTGCATGGCATGAAGCTCCCCGAAGCCTCCTGCCCACCGCCTTTCTGTTTGTCGTGGCAATGTTGATCTTAATTGTGGCACGTTCCACGCCTTTCCGAGAATTTCGACCTTTTGTTGTTTTTTCTTTCTCGTGTGTTCTTTTTCAAAAAAGACTGACATCTTGTTGTTCATTGCCACGCCCACACACATCGTCGCCCTTACTCCTCCCGTTGCATCCATCATGGAATCTGACACATGTGGCTGTCTGCCGTCTGCCGCTCATATCCACAGATGATGCCTTGCGCTCTCTGCATCTGCTTCCACGCGCCGGTACGTGGCTGTGAGACCCAAAACTCGAGTTTGAATCTCCGCCAAAAATTTTTTTGCTCACCTAAACCTCGTGTTTTTTCTTTTCGTCTGGTCCCGACAACAGATTCGGTAGCAGGCCTACACAACTTGAAGGCTGCTCTTAGCATCTGTGTCTTGTCTACATCCCCCGTCAAAAAAAAAAAAAATTCTCACAGAGTCCCCTCGTTGGGAAAAAGAATACTGTCCACCAAACGGACGCAACCCCGACTCACTTCTTTCGACCCATCACCATGGCCGATTTTT